ATTCTACCTCTCCCTTTCTTCTTCTCTGAGTATAATCCTCTCTCACCCTTAATTTTATTCTCCAGATATGACCCCTTAATCTTCAACTCACCCTGTGCCCTCTATCTATCTATCTATCTATACACATACATATAATTTTTTCCTCCAACTACCCTAATACTGACAAAGGTCTCATGAGTTATAAATATCATCTTTCCATGCAGGAATGTAAACAGTTCAATCTTAATAAGTCTCTTATGATTTCTCTTTCCTGTTTACCTCTTCATGTTCCACTTGAGTCCTGTATTTGAAAGTCAAATTTTCTATTCAGCTCTGGTCTTTTCATCAAGAATGCTTGAAAGTCCTCTATTTCACTGAATGACCATTTTTTCCCCTGAAGGATTATACTCAGTTTTGCTGGGTAGGTGATTCTTGGTTGTAATCCTATCTCCTTTGCCCTCTGGAATATTATATTCCATGCCCTTGGTCCTTTAATGTAGAAGCTGCTAAATCTTGTGTTATCCTGATTGTGTTTCCACAGTACTTGAATTGTTTCCTTCTGGCAGCTTGTAATATTTTCTCCTTGACCTGGGAACTCTGGAATTTGGCTATAATATTCCTAGGAGTTTTCCTTTGGGGATCTCTTTCAGGAGGAGATCTGTGGATTCTTTCAATTTCTATTTTGCCCTCTGGTTTTACTGATTCAGGGCAGTTTTCCTTGATAATTTCTTGAAAGATGATGTCTAGGCTCTTTTTTTGATCATGGCTTTCAGATAGTCCAATAATTTTTAAATTCTCTCTCCTGGATCTATTTTCCAGGTCAGTTGTTTTTCCAATGAGATATTTCACATTGTTTTCTAATTTTTCATTCTTTTGGATTTGTTTTACAGTGTCTTGATTTCTCATAAAGTCACTAGCTTCCAATTGCTCTATCCTAATTTTTAAGGAAGTATTTTCTTCAGTAATCTTTTGGACTTCCTTTTCCATTTGGCCAATTTTTCTTTTTAGGGCATTTTCTCCTCATTGGCTTTTTGGACCTCTTTTGCCATTTGGGTTAGGCTATTTTTTAAGGTGTTATTTTTTCAGTATTTTTTTGGGTCTCCTTTAGCAAGCTGTTGACTTGTTTTTCATGATTTTCTTGCATCACTCTCATTTCTCTTCCCAGTTTTTCCTCTACTTCCCTTACTTGCTTCTCAAAATCCCTTTTGAGCTCTTCCAAGGCCTGGGACTGATTCATATTTTTCTTGGAGGCTTTGGATGTAGGAGCTTTGACTTTGTTGTCTTCTTCTGGTTGTATATTTTGATCTTCTTTTCACCAAAGTAAGATAATATAGTCTGACTCTTTTTGTGCTGCTTGCTCATGATCCTGGCCAATTACTTGAGTTTTAAACTCTTTGTTAAGGTAAGAGTCTGCTTCCAATGTGGAGAATGTACTGTCCCAAGCTTCAGGGGTTTGTACAGCTGTTTTCAGAGATACTTGTAGGTACCTGTAAATTTTCAATTCTTCCAAGGTGGTATGATAAGGAGTGAGGTGTTTACTCCTTTCCTGGCCTGGGACCACAAGTATTCCTTTCTGTCCTGTAACTGTGAGGAGGGGTTCCTCTCCACAGCCACTACAAGCTCAACCATGCCAGCGTTCCTCCCCAGCACCCCCCAGAACTGTGACCCAGATCCAAACAGGGCAAAGCAAGAGATTCCTGCCTCAGCACTGGCAAAGAGATCCCTGCAATCCTCTCTGATCAGCCACTGGATTCCCCCTCAGTCTGTGGGCCGAAGCTCGGAAGCAGCTGCCCCCCCCAGGGCCATGCTCTTGGGGAATGAAGCTGAGACCCCGCCTTCCTTTCTCAGCACCTACAGAAATAGACTTTTCCCACTGACCTTCTAAGTTGTCTTTGGCATTCATGGATTGAGGAGTCTGGAAACCACCACAGCTGCCCGAGATTCAGTCCTCTGAGGCCTATTCCAGGTTCACTGTGGCCTGCATGCCCACGCCAGGCTGCACTGCACTCCCAGCCCAGCACAATATGCCTTTTCGATCAACCATCCAGGCTTTCTTGGGCTGGAAATTTGTTTTACTCTGTCTTTTTGTGGGTTCTGCTGCTTTAGAATTCGTTTAGAGTCATTTTTTATGAGTATTTGGAGGGATTTGGGGGAGAGCTCAAGCAAGTCACTGCTTTCACTCTGCCATCTTGGCTCCACCCCCAGCTCTAAGTGTTAAATATAGAGTAAGCACACACATTTTTTTATAGCCCTATTGGTCAGCAACTGCCAATGGTATGATCTGGTAAAGCTGACCTTGGCCTTGATCTTATATTTAGGTACTTTATGCAAAGACAGCCCCCTCTATAGTGCCTCATATTATATGTAATAGTAGTTTAGGGAGCTGATACTCTTTAAGACTGCCTCTGTGCCCAAATACTTGGATCAAAGGTGGGCAGGTACCCTCCAGGTATTTAATTTCTGGAAAGTGAAGTAGTGAGGCTAAACTGAACATCCCCAAATCACACTCTCTCTTCAAACTAAGAAGTGAATGGTAACCTATTGAATTTCCTTCATCTTCTGCCTCTGATGATTTCCTTCTAAAATGTTAGCATCATTTAATATTAATATCAGTCTCTCTCTACATAAATATGTAATATATATACTTTATATGTATACACACACACATATATACACACACTTGTATATAGACGTGTGTATGTACATATACATATAGATTTATAACCACATGTGTGTATGTACATATATACATATCTTCATATGTGTGTACATATACATATAGATTTGGCTTTTCATAAGATGTGATCCTTTTGTACATGTGACAGTAACTGCACAGTACTATAAGCCATTCAGATAACAGGCTCCTGCATCACAATTATAAGTGATACAGAGAGTAATTATTAAAAATAAATCTTAATAATTTCAACTAGGAAGCACCTTCAACTATAAAGGCATATTGTTTCCATCATTTCTATTATAAATTGTATTCCCACATACATTAGCAGGATACTGTCTTACAAATTTAATGTTATTTAGAATTTATATAGCACTTCAAAACAAAATGGGTTCTGTCAATCATGTGCTATATGTTCATAATAATATCTAACTGATATCAGGCAGGAAATATTTTCCCATTTTCACCAACAAAGCAGTAATATTAAATCGTAATGATTTAAGGACAAAATTGCAACTAACTTGAGATAATAAGACCCAGAAAGTGTAGAGGCTATGTATTTTACCGGCTTTTTATATACTGGAATTATGTGAATATGTTAAACAATTACCAGTGCTGATGCCTAGTTTTCATTCAGAAGGTTAATCCATCTCTGCTAGCAAGACTCACTGAGACAGATAAGCCAATATGGTGCTAAATCTGATGGCATTCCCTGTTAATTTATGGTATTCCTTAATAGTTGAAGGTATTCACTAATGGTTCCATCCCTCACTAATCTCTGTGTTTCGTTTGTGCATATAGTGTTTCCCACACAATTAGCATTTCACTGTGTGTTCTCTCATTTTCTAATTATTGGCACAACACAACTGGGTACTTTATTATATACAGTCAGTAAACATTTAATAAGTGCCTACTATATGCCAGCATTGTACTAAACACTTGAGATACAAAGAGAGGTAATAGGCAGTACCTGTTGTAGAGGAGCTCATAATTAAATAGGAGGAGTCATATTCAGTGATTGTTTCATATATGTATGTGTAGTGTCTCCAGTAACATTTTAACTTCCTCGTAGGCAGAAAATGGTTCTACTATTTATCTCTATAATGCATGGAGCCAATTATTATTAGGCACTTAGCTGGACCAGAATACCTATTGAAATGAATTTCCAACTTCATTACCTTCAACTTCCAGAAAGGTGTGTGTGTGTGTGTGTGTGTGTGTGTGTGTGTGTTTTGGCTGAAAGAGGAATACAAATACTCCATCCATCACTGAAAATACTAAATACTCCCATTCATTTCTTGATTTGCTAGGTCCCAGAACCTAGTAACCAGACTTCTGGTGATAAATCTCTTCTACCTTCACTAAGCAGGTCTTTGAATTGCAGTCTAGTCCTCAGAGGAGTCCATTATTTCCAGTTTGGTAGATCCTACCATAACTTAGAACCCATCAGCTTAGCCTGTAAGAATGCAGCTTCTCCTTCTAATAATGATGGGGCATTGGAGAAGGCCTTTAGTGCAAAGTTTACCAAATATATGGTTTAATTCTATTCATCCATGTGTAAGTTTAAAATGTATGGCTTCATCTCTTAGGAAAGTGAACACTTTTGTGTATCTCATAACCTTAACAATGACCACACACCACTTAAATCATTTTTTTTAAAGTGCTGGCTGTCATGTGCTCAATATATATTAGTGCTACTTGATATACTTTTAAAGACTTTTTTGAAAAAGCTTACCAGGAAGAAAATTAAAAAGTGGAAAGAGAAAGTCAGTCCACAACTATGAATAATGAAAAATATGAGAATGGCTCAAGGAAAGCATAAAGTAAACTAAGTGAAGAAGTTTAACAAATGGACATAGAAGGTAGGGAGCAGAGGGAATGAAAGGCCAAGCAAAAGAAAAGAGATAGATCTGGGTCAGAAGAGCAGGAAGAACTGAGAAACTCAGCTAGGAAAAATAAAAGGTAAAATCAGTAAATGGAGAAAGAGAGTGGGAGAGAGAAAAGAAGGCCATTATAGTCTATTTGAATTGTAATGGAACAGTCTTATTCACAAGTAGATCACAGGTCTTTTAAAATGTTTTTTTTTCTTTTACTATGAATTTAGGCAATCTAAGGGACAAAAATTGTGGAATCTCAAACACTAAAGCATAATACATATGGATTCCACAAAAATCTGCATAAGCTAGGCCTAGAAGAAGTGGTGTGGTTTTGAATTGTTTTATTTTGCTTTTAAATGGCTGGCTTATTAAGTACTTAATTTCTTCTGATATTTAGGTTCTTAAGTTATTCCTAAATGTTATTGCAGCTAGTTGTGAGAAATAGAGGGTAGAGAGAGAAGAACAGAAGATAATTTTAATCAATTTCTTTAATACCCTGGCATATACAAGATATTGATAATGGCTGATTTCAGCAAACTTTTTAGCCATTTTAAATTATACTCACCAAAATAATGTGGCTGTCATACATTTAATACCAGACTGAGAGCATCCTGAGGACAAATACCATGTCACATCTTTCTTAAACTTTCTCTAGCCATGTTCTGTCTTCACAGAGTAAACACTTAATAAACATTTGTTAAATAGAATCTTTGTATATTCATAGACCTTGTAAAATGTAAATCAATGAAAAGCTCTAACAAAATATGTGACACTTTGTAAAATAAGATTGCATCTACCCAAGACATCACAGGAGCACATTAATGCAATGTATCTTATCATATATCTAGACAAGTCCCCCTACTGCTATCATGATACCAAAAGCTCATGACCCAAAGCCATCCTACAGATAGGTACAGGGAACTCCACAGAAACTGTGGGAGAAATCTGGCTTACAGATTTTGATTAAGCATAGTGGGCTCCATGGGCATAAAAGGCTATGGTAGTTATAAACTGTGTGAATATAAGTATTTACAAAATTAATTCATGGAATACAAAAGGCATATTATTATAAAGACAAAGATTTATTGATGTGCTACTGTTTTTGCTAACCAATTAACATTTTACTCTATAGATTCATGGACAAAATAAATATGTAAGTAAAGATTATCAATTACATATTTTTGAAAAGCAAACAATGTCAGTGTAAATTATTTTAAGTACTAAAATTTTTGTCTTACCTATCTAAATTTCCTTTTTTCCCTCTTATGAATCAGATTTGGTTTATAGTAAATAATGGCATGAATTACTAAGTTACTAACTTTAATAATGTCTATCTTTAAACAACAATACATTGAGGTTGTTTGTGTCTGTGCTATATAGTTAGAATGATATTATTTTCTGGCAACAAGCAATTATCATATCAATAAACCGATAAACATTTTGTTTATCACTGTAAGTAAATGTTAAATTATAGCCATTGACTAACATTTAAGAAAAGGTGCTAATGAACTGAAAGTTGACATTCAGAGCCTTTCCTTCCCCACAGTGAAAGTCTGAATACTTAGCTACATTTGAATGTCCGGTTATAGTACATAGGAATAAAACACTAAAACAGAGAATGCAAAAGCAATGTCTGCCAGATATTATCTCTACATTTATTGCATAAGATATTCTGCCTCTGTGTTGACAGTGTACTCCTCATCATTAATGGAAAGAATTCTTTCTACCACAAAGAGATGCTTCAGTTCCACCAGGATAGAAGTCAATATTGAAGAAATGACCTAACATTAAAATCATTTCTATCACAAGTGTATATATCTTTGTCTTTTGTAAGGGAAACATCTGATTTAATTTTTAAGAGGAATTTGGAGCTACCTTAATTTTCACCTGCCCAATTCAATTGTTGAGTATACCAAACACATAAAAGTAAATTGTGCTGCACAAAGAGACAATTTTCCAATCTAGGTCCTTTTGAATTATGAATATGCTCCTTTGTACACCAGTTTAGTCTGAATAAATGACCAATAGGTCAAAAAGTAGAAAGTCTCTGGAATATAGAATTTGTTTTGTCTTCTAATTACTTTATCAGACAGGAATACAAGTATTGCTGTCTGTTACGTCACACAAATTCAAATAGCAGTATTTGAAAGTCTGATCAACTCCTACATGATAAGAAGCAATAGATCTTCAGAGTAATATTCCTCCTCCAATACTCTTTCTCCACTTGCCTCTCACAATTCCAGGTTTGAAGTATAAAATAACCCATAGTGTTTATTGTGAAATGAGCCTGTTAAAGAAAAGCAAAAGGGTGAAATGTGAGTTTTACATACACATGCCATTTCTTTAAAATGAGATTGATCTGTTTGTTTGTTTGTTTGTTTTGTCTTCATAATAAATAACACTAGTCAAATCCAATCAATCACATAGCTAGCACCCAGTTAATTAAACTGATCTGAATGACATCAGTTCACTTATTTCATAATTATACATATACATATATATGTATACTATGTGTTTCATATATATACACATATATGTATATATATGTAAACACATCTATTCCAAAGTTCAACCAAATTCTGCTTTTTATAAGGAACCCTCACTCATGCCTTGCCCTGATACGTATCAGTTGAGAAAGTTTCTCAGCTTGAAATAATCTTTCTGGCTCCCCTCACCCAAAATAAATTCATCTAGGCTTTATAAATGAATGAATCAAAAGCATAAAAGAAGTAATTAATTAATAATATAGCATTTTAAGTCCTTCTTATGTGAAGGGTAATGTGCTAAGCACTAGAGATGAAAACATAAGTAAGCAAGACTGCCTCTGCCTTCAAGAAGTATACATTGTAATGGAGGAAGATAACATATACAGGGAAGTGGTAGCCGGAGAGTAATGTTTTAACTGAAGATGAAAAAGATGGTGATTGTGTCACAAGTCAAATGATAGATCCATAATTTTCAGAGAGGGTAGTGTTGATGTAATAAATATCCTCAAAGTCAGAAGGGGGATGTGGAAGGGAAGTAGAGAAATGTCTAAAGTTGGACAGGAAATAATGTAAGAGTCTTTGGCCTTAGCAAATAGAAATGTATTCAAACCAAGTGTTATCACATCAGAGAGATCTCATCAACCATTATGCCATATCACTAATTGTACTTTCATTTTAAGAAAATGTCAGTTAATTTGGAGAGCACAGGCTTCTTCTGAAATGTCTGATCAAAATACCTTATTCTTCAGGCTCTTAATTTTAGCCTCCAGGGATAATTTCTAACGTAAGATTTTATTCATCTTCTCCTGAAAGGAGCATAGAAGTAAAAAAAAAAAGCATAAGGTAAGTTCAGAAGCTGCTTTCATTTCCTAATTCAAAGCACCAAACTAATACGAGGAAACACAAGTAAGAATTCAAACAGATGAATGCAAGAGCTCCTGTACATGTTAGATATTCATTTATTTATAAGGTCTCATTACAGGATATTTCAGTGTTCATATCTCTTCAGCTTTTCCTTATCACACAATATGGGGTTTTCAAGTAGATATGACGCAGAAAGACAGAATATACTATATGAAAATTGAAATATACGTGTATGTGTAGATATATACTGTTATATGTACACATGTGTATGTGTGTGAATGAATAAACACATTTTATTTTTTACTAGCCCAGTGGTTTCACTAGAATAGGGAACTTTTATTGAGGATCTTTTTCTTTGCTTTGGCATATCAGCATCTTTTGACAACTTGTAGTTTGAGAGAAATGCCTAGAAAGGCAGAATCACACAATCAAGTAAACTGAAAGCTGGTCTCAGAGTTAGGAAGACCTATGTGTGGCTCAAGTCATGTTTCTGACAGGTAGAATGAGAGGGAGGGAGGGAGAGAGAGAGAGAGAAAGGAAGAAAAGAGAAAGAGAGAGAGAGAAATGATATATTTACATGTGTATTTACATATATTATCAGCTGAAGAAGACATGTGGAACAAAGTACTCATATATACATACAAATACACGTATATTTCTTTAATATTTTCTCAGTTCTTTTGAGAAAATATTATAAGAATTTGTGGGTAAAGAGGTCAAATTCTAAAGAATCCCAGTCTATAGGATTTACTTGTAAAAGTGGAAAATTCTATACCATTAGATATCATTAGCTCTATTAAGAATAATTATTACTTGTACAAGGGCCAAATGTTTGCAGCCTCAGTCTTATAATAGTGACTGGATTTTGCAGTTCATCTCCCTAACAGGCTCAAAGAAAGTGATTTCTGAGAACCTCAGTTACAGCTACTCCAGTTTAAGATTAAAATTTATCTTTTTTTAAAATTTATTTTGATTTATCAACAATCACTTCCATATGGTTTTGAGTTTAAAATTTTCTCCCCCTTAACCCCCACCACCCTCCCCCAAGATGGCGCACAATCTGATATAGGCTATACATTTACATTTCTCTTAAACATATTTTCACAGTAGTGAAGTTGTAAGTAAAAATTAAAACCAACAGGAGGAACCATCAGAAAGAGGAAACAAAACTCAACAGAAGAGAGAAAAAAAAAGATAGCGATTCAACTTCCATAGTTCTTTCTTTGGATGTGGATAGCATTTTCATTAGGAGGCTTCTGGAGATGTCTTAGATAGGATTATGGTTTTTAATCCCATTCACATTCACAGTTATGATTATTATCTGCGTCTTTTTCTCCATCCTTCCCCCCCTTTATGCTTTTCTTTCTCCTTTCTACTTTTCCCCCCTCACTAGTGTTTTGCTCTTGACCACCACCTCCTTCAGTCTCTCCCCCCATGTATTATCCTTTTCCCTTTTCTTCCCCTTTGCCCTTACTGCTTCTTCCCTCCCTTCTATCCCCCCTCCCTTTTCTTTCCCCTTTTCCCTCCTACTGCCTATAGGGCAGGTTAGATTTCTCTACCTAACTGATTATGTCATTCCCTTCTTGAGCCAAATCTGATGAGAGTAAGGTTCAAACAATGCTCACCCCCCCCCTTCTTTCCCTGTGCTGTAATAGGATTTTCTGTCTTTTCCTGTAATGTAATTTACCCTTGACTGCCTCCTCCCTTCTCAGTACATCTTCTAACATCAGACTAATCAACTTACTTGGATCCATTTAACCCACTGGATCAACTAATATCCACTCCCTTTATGTATACTCCTTTAACATTGTGTAATAATAATACAGTTCTCAAAAGTTGTAAGTGTCATCTTGCCTTTTACGGATGTAGACAGCCTGCCCTTATTAACAACATTTTGTATCTTTCTGTCCCAATTTACCTTTTTATGTCTTTCTTGAATCTTCTACTTGAAGATCAAATTTTTTGTTGAGCTCTGGTCTTTTTATCAAGAAGGTGTGGAAGTCCCCTATTTTGTTGAATATCCATCTCCTCCCTTGAAAAATCACACTCATTTTTGCAGGGTAGTTGATCCTTGGCTGCAATCCAAGGTCCTTTGCCTTATGGAATATCATGTTCCAAGCCTTGTGGTCTTTTAATATAGAAGTTGCAAGGTCCTGTGTAATCCTGACTGTGGTTCCATGATATTTAAATTGTTTCTTTCTGGCTGCTTGCAGCACCTTCTCTTTCATCTTGTAATTTTGGAATTTTGCTATTACATTCCTTGGCATTGCCAATTTGGGGTCTCTTTCAGGTGGTGAATGGTTTATTCTTTCTATGGTTATTTTACTTTCTAATTCTAGGACTTCCAGGCAGTTTTCCTTTATGATTTCCTGAAAGATACTGTCCAGGCTCTTAGAATTTCTAACTCATTTATCCTCTTTAAATGACATATGTAGCTCTGTAGTAAGCTAGCTTCCTAACTAGGGATTTCTTTTGACAATAAAATGATTTACAATTATTTCTGGTCATTTGGTAAGATTTTTATTCTTAATCTGAAGGATACATAAAAGTGCTAAATAACTACATAGAGCTGAATGTGGCACTAACAGTTTATGTGACTTCTCCAGGGTCTTAGAGCTACTATGACCTGAAGCTCAGAAGCAGGACTTGCGTTTTCTGACTGAGGCTAGCTCTCAATTTACTTTACTGTGAAATGCTGCCTCTCCAGGAAACTACAAGCTGCCAAGAAGATGGTGATACAACAAAGCACAGGGGAAGGTCCTCACTGAGAACTCAGTATACCAGTGAAGCCATCAGTTCAGTAAAAATAAATCAATAATAACTACAGCAGCTTCTTGTCAGAAACTTGATTTCTTTCTAATTCTTCCTTGTTTAGCCAGGGCCAGTATCCAGCAATTTCAAATCCCACTGATATTTTCACTTTCTATACAAAATAAATATCTAGCACTGAGTTAAACTGTTAATGGGTGCACTTTTCTCCTTCCCTCTTCCATGCATTTTCAGATCACTTCCAAGTATATTCCCAACTCTTTCACTGTTTATGATAGCTAATTTTGTCTACTTAGACCATTCAGGTACTCTATCTAAGAGTAAGATCAGGACGTTTCCACTTAAAAGAAGTCAAGAAATTAAAAGCTTAATATCTTTAAATGAATTGCCAGTCAAGAAAAGAATGAGGAAGATTTTAAGAATTTATTTATTTTTTTTAGGCAACTGGGGTTAAGTGACTTACCCATGGTCACACAGCTAGTAAGTGTCAAGTGTTTGAGGCCGGATTTGAACTCAGACTCCTCCTGACTTCAGGGCCAATACTCTATCCACTGTGCCACCTAGCTTCTCCGGGATTTATTTTTCAAAGCACAAATATAAAAAAGAACAGTAGAAAGAGGATGAAACAGGTAGAAAAGAGACTTAGGTTTTACTTGTGGCTTTGCAACTAACTAGCTATGTTACCTTGAATATGTCCCTTCATCTGTAAGGGCTTCTTATGTAAAATGAGGGCCTGGATTAAAATAATAGGATCATTAGATTACATATTTACTCTTGGAAAAGACTACATATCATGTTTCAAGTTTTAAAAAGTGTCTATATACAATATCTGTGTGACTGACATATGAAAGCAAATTGAGAGCTAGTAGAAACAGTTTGATGATGATGATGATGATGATATCTGGTATTTATGTAGTGCTTTAAGCTTCACAAAGCACTTTACATATGCAATTTCATTTGATCTTTACAACAACTCTTGAGGTTGGTACTATTATTATTCCCATTTTGCAGAGGAAGGAACTGAGGGTGAGAAAAGTTAAGTGATTTGCCTAGGGTCATACAGCTCATAAATGTTTGAGTCAGAATTTGAATTCACATCTGTGTGACTACAGGTACAACATCCTATCCATTTTACCATCTATAATCATTTAGATGTCATCTGGTCCAAGACATATTACTGATGAGGAAACCAAGGCCCAAAGATGTTAAGTGATTTGTGCATAGTCATCCAGGTAGTAGGTGACTAAGATGAGACTTTAAAATGGAATTACTTGACTCCAAATTGATGTTCTTTCTACTATACCACATTGCATTGTTGTGTTTCACAAAAACTGTGAGAGACAGCTACTATATGAATTATCATCCTCATTTTATTAATGAGCAAAGTGAGACAAAAATGTTAACTGACTTATTGATTGCATAGTTATTATATTGGATGCTATATGTAAATTGAGGCCTTATTTCCAGAAATTGAATAACTATCCCAATAAGATGTAAGCTCCTTGAGGGAAAGAACTATTTTGCTCTTTTCTTTGCATCCCCAGCACCTACCAGAAAAATATGACACACAGTAGGGTGCTTTATAAATGCTTGTTGATTGATTGATTCCACGTTCAGCACTCTTTTTCTCCCTTTGCTCTTCCAGCTCTGACCTACTGTATTTCTAAAATTCCATTTTCAGAAAACTGCTTTGCCCTTTCTGACCCTGTTTCTCTTCACTGTTTTGTTTCCTATTTATGTCAATCACTTGGGTAAAGCCTCATATTAATAATTAGGCAATGTTATTTCTCCAGGTGTAAGAACTTCCAGTGGTAGAAAGTATATACACAGATTGCATGTATATAGAGTCTTCTTTTTTTCCTTTTTGTCACAGTCTCAATAAGTGTCAGAGTTCAGACTTGACCCTGTCTTCCTGATCCTTTATTACTATACCATGGGCCAACAATGATTGAATGTATCACTTAAAATTGAGAAAAAAGCTACATTTACTAAGTAACTCATATACAGAACCCTGAAATAGCTGCAGATATACAAAATTAGATTTAAGAGTTTGTTCATTAAGACATTTTAGATATGTCATCAAAGTATTAGGTCAGGAAGCACTCAACATTCCCTAACACTACTGAGTCTGTCCAGAAAGGTAGTTCAGAACCACAGGGTGCC